CTTAGCTGCGATGTCTGTCATCCTTGGAAAAGAGAATACTGTATATTTTTTTTATTTCAGTAAACGTTTACTAAAGAAAGAAAGTTATTTTTTAAACCAAATGGTTTTTGCATGTCAGAACAGTCATGCAGTTTTTGCCCAGTGTGAGACCCTTGGCAGACCCTACTGTTCAACCACCATGCAGAGTATGTGCATTATCCCTGGGCTTCAGTCACGTACAGTGAAATCCTGACACAGCGGCAATTATTTCAGTCATTTTCCATTACGAAAGCTTGCTTTTAATTAATCGTTTACTCCCGTGTGAAACTGTAATTGCAATTAACCACGATCTTTGTAACCTGCAGAAGAAAAATTGGGAAAGCAGCAGGGGTACAGCACATATTACTGGGCCAGTTACCCAAACCGCGTCCAGCAAGAATAAAAACACACTGGGCAGCAGTTTAGCTACCAGCTAAATCTTCACCTCTTACTGGCTGTGAAGCAAATAGAAGTGCAGAGAAAAATACAAGAGCACCACTGATATCTGTCAGCAAAGCATGTTTCTATTATTATTGTTTCTTTAATATAACAGACATGTAGTGAGCAGATTATAATACAAACAATGCTGACAATATAATGTTCTGCAGTCCACAGCAGGGGTACATGCCCACTTTATCCCACAGCGCTCTCTCTCAAATACATGATAAAATATAAAAAAAATGTATAAACTGTATACTTTTTTGCTGTCAACTATTCTCAAAAAGGGGCAGACAAAACACACCACACATTGATCTTCAAGGAAGTATCTCCATTCCAAACAATGAAAGCGCTGGCTGAACCCTGGTCAAAGTCCGTGGTGCCTCAGTGTTAGTTATACGCTCAGAAACGAGCGGCCTGTCTGAGTGCCAGGCTGTGAGCGGTCAGGCTGAAAGAACAGGAGACAGACTCTGTCATCCTCCCGGGCCAGAACAGCCCCAGATCCCCGCGAGACCGCGGGCTCTCAGACTGCGCCAGATCCACCGGGACACCCGTACCTGGCGTTTCAAGGCTCATCGAGCCTCCTGTTTCAAACCATCATTAGCCTTTAATATCCTAAGCCCTGCAATTATCTTTAAAATAGTTCATCATAATACAAATTTCAAAGCTTCTGAATGATGAGCATAACACCCCGACTGAAGAGTAAAGAAAGTTCATTTGACAGAAGCTTGCTGTGCCAAAGCTTGCAAAGTAATTGCTTTTGAACTGCTACAATAAAATGAGGAAAAACTGTTAATTTCTTTCTTGGAAAAAAACCCTACAGCACCGAGTATTGAAACAATTGCAAATATGTTTTAATTCCCTAGCACAACAGTCTTCTAAATGTAAAAAAAGGATTTCAGAGAGTAAACATGAATGTGAAGAAATCTCAGATTTGCTTGCAGTATTGGGTTCTGCAGAGTTACAGGATATAGTATTTACTCCATGTATAAGGCATTCTTGAAAAGTCCTTTTCGGTTACTAATTAGTACACTCTCCTCATATTTATCTACAGGTTCTATCTTTATGCAAACATCTCGGCCAAACCGCCCTGCTCCTGAGATCTGAAGGTTTCATGCTGTACCTTCACAGTGGCACGCAAGAGCATCAGGACCACGGCCAGCTGTCGTGCTATCAGCCCAGAACAATGCAGAAGAAGTCCTTTCAGATAACTACATTCCTTTCCACTGTCACTGATTAAAATTCACAATACGGACAAAGCCCTGCGAACACGCAGTGCGAAAAAGGAAAAGAGCCTGAATAACAGCATTCAATAAAGCTCCGGTGCAATATGTCACAGCAGGACAGAGTAACACTGTGCAATACACACTGTGACATTCTGTCTGTGAAGAGTGCAAATGTAGTTTAATTCCCAGCTATTTAAGTATTCCTGAAGTGTAAGGCAGGGAGCAATACAGCCCAAGACATGTATTTGCCTTTCAGTTGCCCAGAAATGTGCAGTCCAGATTTCTGCTGTGGTCATATTCTCAGACAAGACCAGCCAGACGCAGGATTATACCCGTCTGTGCTAATGAGGGGATTTTCTGCAAACGAGCCTGTTCCCTTCCTCCGCTCCTCTCCGTGTTCCTGGGCCTCTGGTCATGGAAGCCCTGCACCACTCCCGGACGTTTCGCACGAAGAGGGAAGCTTTTTCCTCCCTGCTCGAGCTCAGCTGCTTGTTGCATTTATTAGGGACGCGTTTAGAGTCAGCCCCCCCTCGCCACGAGAGCCTTTCACTTCCAGGGAAATCTGTCTCTTGAAAGCCATAAATTCTCTTTTTAATTTGGGTTCATGTATTGAAGACTGAGGGTTTTTCTTTTCTAAAACAAGCAAGATTTTTAGCACATGCCTATTAGAGCTTTCATACGGAGCACATGAGGACACAGCCTTTCCAAATTAAAGCAAGAAAATAGATTATGTAGCCATATGGAACCCTTTGCCACAGCCACAGTGATCTGGTTCCAAGACATTGTTAAACTCTGTGAGGCAATGCCTCCTTTGTGAAGCTCTAACTTGTACTGTATTCTTAGGGCCTAACTCACACCTTTTAATAGGTGTTTACTAACAGATTATTCTTTGCATAAGCTCTGTTGATTAGCAGAAATAAATATAAGAACCAGATACGACAACGTTCACAAACATGGAATTCAGAGCTGAATGTGCATCTGATACAACGTTAACTCAGGCATGACTTTTCTGGGTTTGGATTCCACGCGTTCTTCAGGACAGGGCTCTTTCACACATCCTCCAGCAGGCTGACACTGCCAGACACCGGCTTCAGGCTGTGTGCTGTTATAGTTAGTGCTTCTTTAGGGAGACAGCCATCCTCCCACAGGCTTCTCTATATAGAATATAGTGTCTAGACTAGGTGAGTGCTGGCTAGGGATAGTAGCACACACCTACCCTACCTAACATGAGCCATTTGCCACCTCCGTAACTGCTCTTTTAAAGCCAAGACTCCTCACTCTGCTCATCAGAGACTTGTACTGAACAGAACGTCAGGATACAGGGTGGATGGCTGCCTGGTGAGGTCACAGTCCAACACAACAGGAAGTTCATAGAGGCGATGATGCGAGCACTTCATCACAGAGGAATATTCACACACGCACACCGATTTAACACCAAGAAAGAATACCCTACATTTACATTTAAGGCCTGTGTGGCCCTTTGCTGTTTCAGGTATCCCGGCTTCCCAGTCCAGCCCCTTTCTAGTTTTCCCCGGACAATGGGTCATACCACCCTCCCGAAAGGGGCTGGAGAAAGTCAGTCCTGGAGCAAAGTCAACCTTGAACCCCGAGAGGAGCCGAGGCTGGGCTCCACAGCCCCTCGCTTTCCACGCCAGCGCCTGGCGACGCGCATCATCACGGCCCCAAAGCCCCAAGGGGGGACTCTCTGCCACTCCTGCACGGCGCAGCAAGGAGATACTGCTCCTGTGGGCTGTCTTTTTTTAATCAGGGCTGATCATCTGTAGAACAGGCCTGTGCGCATTCTGTATGTGAATTCATTTCAGGTCTAATGAAATATGCTTGAAAGAGAACATGGCGTGAGTCCCAGAACAGGACGAAAAAGACGCATGTAGAGCTGTGTTAAGACATGTTCTGTGCCTCAGTTATGGCACGCTCCTTTTTCACACTGCCCCTTCCCTAACACGGGTCGACAGACCTTCTGTGAAGGATTTTCTTTTCATTGATAAGGTTTCCCCGTTTTGAAATCCCGAACTCTGCTGGGGCTGTTTACTGCACATCAAAAACACTGATGGCTTTATTTAGTTTGCACCTCATTCTCTGCACGGCGTTTGTAACAAGCAGGGCAGCAGTACAGTAACCCATCAGCCTAATGCAGTGAAAACTGGGACAAGCCCACATCTGGAGCTGGACTGTTAGGCTCAGCTCTTCGTGAGACCCTCCAGCTACCATATACAGGTTGACCTATTCTGCTTTGTTAAAACATCTCTGTTGAGCTAAAAAATTAAACAAACAGCACGAGCCCAGCAGTGAGCACGACTGCTGCAAAGTCCCTAAATTGGCGCGCTCTGCTGTGAACGTGGTGGTTATAATGAGCTGCAAGTCTCAAATCTGCTGGTAAACAGCTCAATAACAGACATTATCAGATGAGGAAAATGACTAGTTTCCCGTATTTGCTTTGAAAATCCTTCATTTATCCCTCAATTTAATATCGTTGTGGAGGGAGGAAAGAAAAAGAAAGTGTTTCATCATTCGGGTTTAATGTCAGAGGACGCTCCCTAAACACAGTCATCCAGAATTAAAAAGAATAGTTTTCAGATAACAGCTACACACCGTAAATCATAGTGGCAGTGTATCCAGAACCACAGTTTTGGGAAATGTGCGAGTACTCAGTGCTGTTCAGCAGCACCTGGGCCTGGCAGACGAGCACGGAGCCCCAGAGGGCTCTGGCCAGCTCCGACTGCAGAGCCGGACCGTCCCCAAGAGCCAGACACCCCCTGGGCTCCCCTGCGTGGCCCCGCGGGACTCCCGCTCAGAGCTCACACCCTGTCCAATCGCAACAGACCTCTCCCAGCGGCGCTCTGGAGCAGCACCTCGACTGCAGGTAGACCCACCTCAGGCCTCTCCTGAGTCTCCCGACTCGTTCAAGCACTGTGATGGAGGATTCAGCACAGAACACGTGTGACGATCAGAAAGACATGAAACACAGAGATAAATCTACTGTGGGCCTGTAATAAGAACAAGACACATTACAAACCAGAGACCAGGCGAGATGGACCGTTTGGCTTGGTAGTGCGTGATATTATTATGATTATTACTATGATGATTGTGAATATGATTATTATTAAATTAACCCCCATTATTAGTACGTTTAAAATGAAACATTCCCACAACTTCCCATTTTTCTTGAAAAACATCATCAACGTGACGGGAGAACTTGACGCCGTCGACAAGAGCGCCAGCAAACGGGATCTTCGTGGAGACAGGGAGAAGGAGACAGGCGCCCTCTCCGCGCACGGACGGGAGCTGCAGCAGAAATCATTTCAGCGGGCGGAAAAAAAAAATCTGTCTCGGATTATTGCTGCCTTTTCATGTTACTATCGCTCCCTGTGCTTGGTTTCAGCCAATCTCTCCCCTATGACGCTCTGCGAGGCTGGATTCAGAGGGACCCGATCATAATATTTAACACACCCACACAGCCTTCAACAGCAAGAGCACGGGTTTGAGCTGAAGCGCCCGAGTGAGGTCTCCAGCAGCACCTGCCCGGACCGTCCTCTCCCCTCGCCCTCCCGGAGCCCACTCCGCCCGGCACGAAATGCGGAACTCGTCTGCCTGGGAAGAAGAAGGACGGACCTCCTGGATTTCGCTTAAACTGCGTGTTTTTATTTTTTAACGTTTCTGTATCGTTTTCTCTCTCTCTCTCACCCCCTCCCCTCCGCGGTGGATACTGGCGCTCAGACGGGGAGAATAACGAGGACCGTACCAGCGCCGCAACCGAAGAACCGGAAATAAAATGAAAGAAAACTAAAAAAAAAAAGAAACACGTTCAGACGTCAAACTGAACACCGAAGGGACGATTGTTTTCCTCGCTCTGAAGAAGGGACGCGGGGACCGATGTCTGCTGCACATCCCGGGGATGACAACCAGCCTCCGTGCTGCAGTCGGCACGTCCCGGGGATGGAGCGCCACTACCTACTGTAGACTTCACATCCACACGCCACGGATGAGCCGGGCTCGCCTTTTATACCTGGGCACAGATTTCCAGACTGCCGATTTCCAGGACATTGACAATGTGCAAGACCGAGGCGTATCTCCGACCTGATTCGCGGTAGGATTTATGCGGGAGGGCTGAGAAAACCTGTATTTTTATTCGCTTGTGTACAGTATGTGTGCGTGTTAGTGGACAGCAGACACGCTACTCGACTCTCTGTTCAATTTATTTTTTTTTTGCCTCTTGTTGAAAATGAAGCACACGTCGGTGCTGAGGGATTTTTAAACTCGGCGAAGGAAATTTCTGTGCTAAACCCGATCCGAGTCTTCAAATGTTGGTAACGTTCAGCTCTGTCAGAATAAAGAACTGACAACCAGATTTTTTAAAAGAAAACACGACTGTTGTACTCTTATTTTATTGTTTAATATACATATTACGTTCTATAGCAATTACCAGGATAAAACAATCTGCAGAAGAAGATGATTCTGTTTCGGAAATTCCGAGTCCTGATCCTCATGGTGTTTCTCGTTGCGTGCACCATGCACATCATGATCGACTTGCTGCCGAAACTGGAGAAGCGAGCGACGGGACCGGGCGCCGGCAACAGCGGCTGCTCCTGCTCCCACAGACCGAGCGAGGAGCCCGAGAGCTGGGGCAAGCAGCGGGCAAGGGCCGGGGCAGAGTCGGGCTGGCCTAATAAGCACACCCTGCGGATCCTGCAGGACTTCAGCAACGAGCCCAGCTCCAACCTCACGTCGCTCTCCCTGGAGAAAGTCACCGGCGCGGCGGACAGGGCGGAGGGGCCGCAGCGGCGGGAGCAGAGGCCGGCGCAGGCGGGCGACGGCCAGAAACACTTCGTGCAGGAGCCGGGCGCCGGCAGGAGAGCTCCCGCCCCCGGCTCCTCCAGGCTCTCGGCGCTCTTTCAGCACCCGCTGTACAAGACGGAGCTGCCGGCGCTCACGGAAGACGACACCTTGTTTAACGTCAACACGGACATCAGGTTCAACCCCAAAGCGGCCGAGAACCAGGACTGGTAAGCGAAACGCGCAGGAGGTGGGGCGGCCAGGTGGGCGAGAGGCGAGGGGGCACCTGAGCGGGTCGGGGGGCGGGTGCGCCTTCAGAAGTGAGCGGCGAGGACCTGTGTCGCCGTGCGAAGCGAAGCGGTCGCCTGAGCTGGCCAGTGGAGTTACTGCAGTGACAGAACTAGTGTCCTACAGTACCTCAGCCCACCGGGACGTGCTGAAGCACTCTTCGCGCATTCGGAGAACTATAGGCTCTGGCTGGTTTGTTTGTAGGCACAGAGTGAAGTTTTCCTCTCTGTGGCACAGCCGATGACAGTTACTCAAACACCGTGTTTACACCATGGCAATCGTATCGTGACACAAAGACACAAAGTATCGTGACAATCGTCCACACACACGCCCTTTTCTAGACAAGCCGTGCTGTTTCTGACCCCTGTACTGTCTTAAACCTGCAGGTCGCCCTTACGAAACGCAGGTGATGATAACACTCAAGATGTGAGGGTGGGTGCTGTTGTGTGCACATGAGCACACACTTCATCTGTTCCGTCTGTTTCAAATTAACATGCAGGGCGCTGGCACGCATTGTACAGTTAATAGGAAGTTTCAAAACAGCGATTTAAATTTACGGTCAATTGTAAATAACTCGCGAACCAGCAGACACAAAGTATCGTGCTAATACTACTCCAGGAGTTTAAGGCAAATGCGTTTCTAGTTATCGATTGCTGAATATTTACAAAACATCTCTTAATGTTTTCCGAGCGTGGCGCAGTATGTAATACTGAAAAATAAACCGAAAATGCTTTAGTAAAGCGCTGGGATAATGCAGTGTTTCTTTTTCAAAACTCGTTATTAAAATGATCTAGAGACCACGCAGTTTCATGCCATCTGTCTATTGCTCTAATACGAAATGGATAGTTTCGGCTGGGAAAGTAATTTGACGATTTCAAGACACAAGCAGCCGAGAACCTCCTGATCATGTGAAATTCCCCTTGGGGCCTTGCACCCCACTGTACTGGTCAACCACTAAGGTACACCTGGAGTGCCGTTACCAGACTGTACAGTGAAATACACTGAATTGTTTACCCTCATCTTTCATTTCTACTGCCACCACAAGACAGGTCTTTACAGTACTGCAGAGTGTAAAGATCTCTATAATTGCAAGAAAAAATGTTTTAATTAAACTAATTCCAGTTAAAGCAAAATTAATGTTATACTGATTGAACACTGTCAGTGGCCGTCTGAATTCTTAATCTGGTTTACAGCTGTTATATTTGAAAAGGGGTTAACAGCGAAACTTTAAATAGATGTACCCCAGAATATCAATGTACAGTAGGCTGAGCTGCAATTAGCAGCAACTGATTCATTTCAGGTTTCCAGTCCATCCTTGTAAACTCAAATAGGAGTTCCTGAATATCTTAAATCCCACCAATCTAGGCAGGGTGACTGTGATTTAGGGTTATAAATATGATTTCCGTTACAGTTAAGGTTAGGGGAAAACTTGGAGCTAGAGATGCATGTTCAAAAGCTTGTTGCCAAACACACTCAAAAGTCCTAAACTGCTAACTGACACAAAACGATCAGTGAAATCGATCCTCTCCTCTCAGTTCCAGGCCTCTCTCTTCTCCCAGCCTGTAATCTGTTTACACAGTCCAAAGCTCACTTGGTGTTTAGAATGACTATTGCATGGCTTTTTTTAAATCTTAAATTAGACTACTGTAACTGCACACATACTGTATATGAAAAGAAAACAACAGGAACATTTCAATACCAGAGCAGAAGCATGTGCCATTAGAAAGTTATGCCATGTTGCAGAACCATTTATAACACGGGGCTTGAATCTGGACATGCACTGTTCAATATTTTTATGCACAGCCATCATTCAGCCTCGACAAACACAGTTGTTGCTGGTTAGACGGTCCTGTGGTTTTGGAAGTACATATTACTAAAAGCAAGCCTTCAATTTTCTTTAGCTCACAGCATTTAAAGTGTATAAGCAATCCAGTGTCCTCCCAGGTGAATAACTATGTGACTGCAATACTGCAACCTTGCACATTTTAGTCAGCATTGCATATTCACTGGAGGGAAATCGCTTAACCATATCCTAAAGTACCGGGCTACCATACAGTAGGTAGTGTGGGTATTCATTTGCTAAGTTGCATAGGTACTGGATGGGTAATTTTACAGTCACAGAAACAGAACTACAGAAAACAGAATTGGTAGTCCTTTAGCTCTGCGGGGCAGTGTGATTGATAACTTCAGATTAAGCTGTGATAAAAAAGTGGTGCACAATAGCTAGAACTGGTAAGGGGTGAAGAATGGTAATACACAATTTCAGACAGATTGAATTGTGTACATGTGAGTGCCGTGATACCTGAGCGTTTGCCTGCTGTGCGCTGTCCAGCCGTCACACCCCGTGTGCTGCTTCAGTACATCGTTTCTCTATTTCCCATCCCTTCAGGCACAGCGAGGGGAATGAAGAGGAGTACACCCCAACTGGGGAGCCCTCCGCGGACGCGTACCCCAACTGGCTCAAGTTCCACATTGGGATTAATCGATACGAACTGTACTCCAGACATAACCCCGTCATCGATTCCTTGTTGAAGGACCTCGTCTCTCAGAGGATCACCAGCGTGGGTAAGTCCAGCTGCTGCGCGAAGCCGCGTTCGTGAGCCATTCGTCCGACAGCTTGAGCGGCAGTACTGTGTACTGCTGAGGCCGAGGGACTCTGGGTCTGTGCACCTTCCGAACAAGGAAGACGCAAAGACAGAATTGCATTAGGGCTCAAAAATGTGGCCTTGAGAAATCATAGCCCTTCTGCTGAGGTTACCGATGAACGGAAGCTCCTGTTGATTATAAAGAAGGACTTGATGGCATTAAACCATACCGACTGAAAGCCACTCAAGTAAGGAAAGGCCAAGCTGAGGGCTGCTGCCCCATGCTGTCCACCGCAACCGAAAAGTATTCCACTTTCATACTGTCTGCACATATAGCATCCCGGTCTTTGCTGTAAAGATCAAAAAGTGGTCCAGAGAAGATTTTACCTTCTAATAATTATCTCACTCTCTCCAAAAAATCATTCCAGTCACAAAGCAAAAATCACAAATCCTTCTCGATCAGAGACGTGCACTAATCTAACTTACAGGACTGAGCGGTCAGTTCAGAAACTGGGTATACCATCTGTATGTCCAGTGTCCATGAGTAAATGAGGAGTCCTCCTACAAATGGGAAGACTGAAACTCAGCCACGTAGAGGGGAGATTGTTGCGCAACTCATTCAGTGTTTTAGTCTCTATTTTATTTGCACATGTCAGGCTGAATTTTTGAGAGTGCACAGCTGCCCCGTTAAAACCAAATGAAATAGGGTGTTGGTTTATTTTCTTCTGGACACCTTCTTTTGTTCTCACCCTTTCTCTGAGCTCAAAGCTTCTCCTGCGGTCGACTTGGCAGAGGGCGTGTGGGACTCGCAGGACAGTTTTAGTGAACTCATTAGGCCCCTGCCCAGAGGGTGAGTCCCCCCCTCCCCTCTGCTTTTCAGTCACAAAAAGAAACGAGGGAGAGGAGTCGTGACATTTGTGTGAAACAAGGCTTTAAACTGGAGCTGCTGTAGGCATTTAGATGCAGTATGAAATCCATTCAGCACTTCTGGATGAATGAAGAAGAAAGGAGGGGTGTCCATGTCCCCTGTAGGCATGTGAATTCAGGAATAAATCCAGTCATTGTGAAGATTTTTTACATGGGACTGCATGACGTACTGAACATGGAGATCAAACATAATCTGCCACATCCCTGTCCCTGCACAATTTAAAACATCTCTAAAACAGCAGATGGATGAAATATTTCATCATCCAAAAATTAAATTGTTTTTGCAGGTGGGAGTAGAAACTGACCAAAATGGGTCACGAGATGGCGATGTGCTCTTTAAACCTTGGCAGGAGATCCATAAATAGCTCTTCAGATTATATGTTTTTGTTCCTATTTTGAAGGTATTTGTGGAAAATAAATTGCACCCTATTCTCCTTAACAAAAACACCCTGGAACAAAACGTACTATTATAACACAACTAATAGCAGTCAGATTTTGAATCATCCATTATAAGGTGCTAAAAACAGTCACAGAACAGAATATTTGCATAATAATGGCTGTGTAGACTAAAGCTATTGTCTGAGAAGTACATGGTGCCTTTATCAAGACCCTAATTTAGATCTGAGAAGGTGCAAGCTGATAAGGGGTTTGAAAGTGAGAATAGTGGAGCAGTGGTTATGGTCTGGACTTGTGACAGGACGGCTGCGGGTTCAGTTCCCAGATGGGATGCTGCTGTTGTACCCTGTAGCAAGGTGCTTCACTCACGCGGTGGCTTCCAGTGGAAGGGTCAGTAAAATGAGTTAATACTGTGAGGGTAAAACGGTGCAGGTGACACCCACCCTCTAAACACACACTTACATATTTGAAGCATCTTCCGATATTCACAATTGGATACAATTTGGACACGTTTTTATCACCCAGTTTTACCTCCCTGGCTCACGTTGCTCAATAAATATGGGATTATATTCTGAAACGCAATCACATCCTCTTTCGGACCTGCCTGAAATATCTGAAGAGCCCTCGCACCAACATTAAACAGGTGTCCTGTGTTACACATGACAAACCTGCTCGTTTTATTCTGTCAGGACGGCACGCGGGTGTTTTGCAGCTCCTCCACGAATCCTGATTTTCACGTGGAATAATCTGCTTTGTTCCACCTCTAATGGCAAAGGCAGGTGCACTGTCACCGACTGGAGAGGCCCAGTTCTGGACACTCCTCTTTCAGAAGCCTTTCCCAGGAGGCTACAGTGCTTCCATAAGCACTAAAGCTGCTGTAGGTCATGACTGCTCTTGCAAAATTAAAGAGCTTTCAACAGCATCGTCCTTGCTTGTCAGGTTTTTCTTTTCTGACATGGAAAGGGGTGGGTTTTTCCTCCATGATCATGAATGCTGGTATCGTAAAACAATTAATTTGAATGCACCTGTCAGGCAAGCACAGACGCAGAGGTGAGCCGGAGAAGCGACTCTTTCTGAGTTACGGTTTTACTAAACGATGCAGGAGGAAAAAGAAAGACACAGTTTCTTGTACTAAGGTACAGTACAAAGGGGGATTTAAACAAGGAAAGTCCCTCTTACTAGTTTGTTTGAATAGCTGCATAAATAAACACTCACTGATATAAATGGTCTGGATTACACAGTCAACAAAAATTTCTTCCCAGAAAGCCTTTTATTTTCTTCTGTTTTAAAGACACTTTTTCAAGTATATAATGTGTTTCTGTCTTGTTTTGTACCCTAGCTACATGGTGTGTAAATATTTTTCTCTGTTACAAATCTTTGACAAAGTAAGACTTTGTTTAAGTGAATGAAGTTAGTGGAAAAATTGCTAGAATTGTAAAGGGAAAAAAAACCTTTCTGGAGCCTTTCCAAGGAAATCTTATCCGATTCATTTCTGGAAATGTCCCTAACCATGCAGACAGAAAAAGAAAGGGATAAACATTTAAATGTGGTAACATGGAAATCATTTTGTTTGCATTGAACACAAACAGCCCAGGAATTACTGTAAACATCCTTGAATTCTGCTTGAATCATTACTGAAATAATAGGCAAAATAAAAGTTAAGACTGTGTGCTAGTCCGTCTTTTGTAATGCTTACTATACTCATGAGATCATTTTATTTTTCATGGATGTGTTCTTTTTCAGTTTTACTAGTGAAAATTAGTATTGATATAATTGATATAATTAGTGAGTGATATAATTTTTAATTACACTGTCAACATTTGCAGTGCCCTATACAGAACGTTTTACACAGTGTCTACATAGCTGAGAACAGAACTGACGGGCTCCTTCCTCCCCTCCATTTCCTGAACAGCTTCATCCACTATAGGATCATGGGAGAGCCGGAGCCTATCCCAGCAAGCCCTGTGCGCACAGCAGGATACACCCTGGGCAGGACGCTAGTTCATCTCAAGGCACACACAGACACACACACTCAAACCAGGGCCAGTTTTCCCAGAAACTAGTTCAACTCCCAGTACCTGGAGGAAACCCACACGAACACAAGGACAACACAACCCCTGATGGGCTCATCCACCCATATTCAAGATGGTCTTTTCCCATGTGTTTCTACTCTTCTCTGCATGTGCTTGGCTTGACTGTACCAGTTTCTCCTCTGCTGCATTTTGGTAATCCTTTGCTAAAATCCTCCCGATTTTAAAATATCAGAGGAGAGGTGCTCTGCATGGTGCACCAAAAGATAATCCCATCGTCACTGTGAACAAGCAGATGTGTAGGAAATAAAGCTACAGTCATCAAGAGCTTGAGGAGATTTAAATAGAGGAGACCATGGAGGCTGGAAACCCTGTGGGCTTCCACAAGCACCACAGAACCAACATCATGAAAAGGAACCATGGCCTTATTTTAACTCCCCTTAAATTTACTGTGCCAAGATATGTAGTTCATTCTGTTCACTGTGTGGTAGTTTTCACTTTAATCTATTTTTAATCTCAAGTCAAGTTTTAAACTGTGATTATCAAAACCTTTTTTTTGCAAGGGACAAGGAAGTATGTAGTGGACCAGCTGGGCCTGCCACCTAGAGGCGATACAATCTGTCAAAAAGTGCTTCTTTTGTTAATGTCTGTGTGAAAAAGAGAGGCTTGTCAGTAGTAACCCTATGCCAAAAGCCAGACATAAGTCACTGCTCCATTTCAGGGTTTCACCACTCTCTTTTTAGTCCTTGTTTATAAGAGTATCTACACTGTGGCTTACACTTAATTGATTATAGAGCTGCCATATTGTGATTTAATTTGCTCAGACTTCAGTTAGACATCGTCAGAACACAGCTCCAGAGTAACACAGGAATAGAGGCACTAGCTGTCATAAAAACATAAGGCCCGTTACAAACGATACAAGTCTATTTGGCCCATCTAGGCTGTTTGGTTGTCAGAAATGTATTGATCCAAGTGTCTCATCCAGCCGGTTCTTGAATGAAGCCAAGGTACTGGCTCAGCAGCTTGTTCCACACACCCTCAACTCTTTGGGTAAAGAGGCCCCCCATATTTTTGGTTTTACATGCTTGTTTGCGCTTGAGCCCTCTGGTTTGTGTTTCGCTGTTCATTCTGAAAAGTGTTACTGTCACTGGAGCTCTTGGATTCCCGGTTTATAAAGGTTTGTTTTGGCTGAGCTCATCGGTGCCTGATGACTGTTAGGGTCCAGGAACATGTATAGATCTGAGTGTCATGGCTGTGTAGTACCATGGCTTTATCTCCAAAAATGCAAGGCCCATGTAGAAAGGTATTCATGTTGTGTAAGCACATGTTGCATTCGGGGTAAGCACAAATATTCTGGTGTGTGTACATTTGTGAGTCCTACACTGAGTGCTACACTGGGAAATGATTCCGAATTCTCCCTTTTTTATTCCTAACAGCTATGAAATCTGGTGGCACACAGTTGAAACTCATCATGACATTCCAGAACTACGGACAAGCGCTCTTCAAACCCATGAAGTAAGTGAAAACCCATTAAGTCCGGTGTGAATTATTGATGTTCCTGCTCAGTGGTAATGCGGGTCTGGGAGGCTCACGGAATTGAGCACTCCGATGGTGACATTCCCCCGTGGCTGCGATTAGGACATGACCTTTTCAGAGCACCCCAATGTCACAGAGAGTTAGGCCGAAACAGTGTCTGAGATACTTCACTGAAATCTCAGCACAGAATTCACAAATTAAATAATACCAGGTCTTCGGCAATAAGATCAGTATCTTGATCGTTTTTCAACATGATTTGGGACTTTCAATAATAACAGTAAGATATATTTGTACACATAATCCCATAAATAACATATAGAAAAAGCTTTCTCTCTTCCTATACAAACTTCTGCTCTTTTTATTGTGTGGTAGACCTAATAAAATTCACAAACGTTTAACTAAAACAATACTCTTTTTCGTTTGATCTTATAAGTTCGGCAATACCCACAGCGCAGTTTTTAATTAACATTTCCAAACGTACATTTTAATTAAAGATGTGGAATCCTGTCCTGGGGATATCTGTGAACCATAATGCCTACAACTTTAAGCAGCTGGTTTTTAATTGAAGAGTTTTCCCAAATCAAAAAAAAAATCCCTGATATCTCAATAATAGTCAAATAATTATTTAGAACTTGTTTCTTTTCCTTTATTATGTTTCTCTAAGGAAGGAAAAACATTTGCAAGCCATTTTCATCCGTTAACCTCCTGAGCCTTCTAATCCCAGTGTAATTCCGAAATAAGCAGTTTTTATATTCAGTTTTAAAAGCTAATTTTTAATATATTCTAGGATTTATTCCTAACTTTAAGTCTTTAAGTCTGACACAGTTATAAGTTAAAATATAGAGGGCGGTTTCACTGTAACACATGCACACGCAAATTAGCTCCAAGGGAAGATGGATGTTTAGTTTTTCTTGAAACAGCAAAAAGGCTGAAAATAGAAACTTAGTTTCCTCTTCATTCTTTCACTAATACTAGGCACTAGGCGCTTTGCGTTCCAGATCCTAGGAGAAAATTAAATCGCACATCCAAGGGTGATTCCGATCGCGGAAGCAGCTGAACTGTCTGAAATGTGGCACGGCCTGGTGGGGTTCGGTTCAGGGTTCTGCAGAAGCTGACTTCTGACCCGAGAAGGGGACAGGGCGTCGGTCCCTGCGCGGTCCCGCTCCACTGAGACCAGCCGGGTCAGAACACCCCAGTCGGGGAGCGCGGGTCACGGGTCACAGTGCTGCGTGGAAATCAGGGGGCGGCCAGTGTCCCCACTTTCCCCCTCTGTTTCGGAGCGCTCGCTGGCACCTGCCTGTGCACACGCGCTGTGAAGGCACAGCCCAGAGCCCGGGGCGAGATCGATTCGGCGAACCGAAAAGGGTAGGAAGTCAGAGTTGGAAGTTGGAGTTGGTTTCATTTAATACAAAATAATGGCTATAACAAGGGCTGATGCAGCAGACCTGCAGAGCTGTAACTCTGAACAGTGAAAGTGGAAATAAACATTGAGTCACTGAGTCTCTGCTGGAGCAATTACACCTGGAGCTGCCCTGGCCGCTAGCAGTTTCCCCCACTGTCATCGTGTGGCCAGAAGCAGAAGCTGCACACGCTGGAGAGACAAGGGAGGGCGAAGTAATCATAAAGGCTTTAGCCCTTCTAAGTGGGAGTGTGTCAGCTTCGTGCTGCACTGCTGGAGCAAACAGATTAGCACTGCTAAACAACACAGGAGCACCAAGATGTCTTCCTACCAGTATGTTTCGACTTCGATGACAGCGTATTCTACCTACGATCCTGTCCAAATGGTGCACACTACGGTCGCTGTACAGATGCACACTGCTGGCTGTAATCCGGTAGAGAACGGAAACAATAAAAGTGACAGTTTTGACTAGGGCATTCATAATGGTGCTCAAGTTATCTGATTTTAATGGTAATGAAATTTCTGTGCAATTCTCGAAGCACGGGGACACGGTCTAGTTAACAGTAAATACTTCGCAAAATAAGCTTAGGGTTCCCTTCGGTATTTCTTGGCTGGATGAGATATCTGTGAAATGAGAATTGAAGTGCAGCTCATTTGTTACTTAATTACAAGTGCAAAAGAGTCTCACTGACTGACAATAACAAGGCAGGGCTTTGAGCTAATTGATGAAAAATTTTGTAAAGTTTGTGAAAACCTACGGAGACCAAACACCAATTTCCGGGAAATTCAGTAACATCTCGCACCTCAGCACAAGCACACAGATGGCAAATAACTTCGGTGACCACTAGGTCTGAACTAACTACTAATTTATTTGTCTAATGTTTTTATTCAAAGAGGCTTACATTGGCACCCATTTATACAGCTGGATTTTCTACTGGGACACTGCAGGTTTAGCTCAAAGGTACAACAGCAGTGTCTCACCTGGGATTAGAAGTCACAGCCTTCCTGTTACACCTCTAGACCCCTGACCTCTGCGCCACACTGCTGACCCTTTCCGTACAGATGCAGACATGATCACTGAAACTGTATTTGATACCCTAAGCATCAGAAATCCGTGGACCCTGGAAGGGATGTAATAAGATATTGAACCTACCGTGGCTCAGCTACATATTTTGCATCTTACAAACAGTGTAACATTTTTTTTCCACTCGATGCAAAATACTGTATCTCTGAGTCACACAGGCCAATGGGATAGTGAGTGTAACACCTGTCAGCTCAGTGGGATCCCTGTGAGGGAAGCAGATCCAGAATTCCCAGGAATTGTGCTACATTGACCGCAGCTCGCTTTCTCTCTGGGATAAAGATGGCGATGCAGTTCGGAATCGTACTGTGCTTTCCCATGGGCACCGCCGGAAGCCTTATTCTTTAGGGAGGGGGCAACAGAGATCGAGGGAAGGGATGTGAAGCTACCCTTTAGGGTCATGTAGAGCAAACAGTGATCACTCTGTCGGGTGGGGTGCGATGGGGTGGAATCATGCCCAGGCCGGTGCATACAGCAGCAATTAGCTTTGGCCAGCTGGGAGTGTGAAGGTAGTGGCCGTGCCCGCTGTTTGCCGCTGATGTGGCACCACAGGAGTGGTGGGCCGTGCAGCCGGGTCGGCCGAGCGGAGCGTTCCGTCGGAGCTGGTCCCCTGGCGGCCGGTCGGATTGAACGAGTCGGCCGGATGTGGCTGGATAGACGCTGCTCACGCCCCTCGCTCCTCCGACACGAATGAAAACGAGGAATGTTGCCAGCAGGAATCGCACACACAGACTCTCGCCCCCCTTTGTAGTTATGAGTGCTTACCTTAGAGCTCAGCACCAGTTCTCAGGTTCAGATCCCTTGCCTGAAACTGTTCTCTCCTGCCAGTACTGGAATGCTTTCCTGCAAATCGATGAGAACAGGTTGACTGTCAACCAATCAATGAATAATAAAATCAATGAACGTGCAATCAGTTCTTTCAGAATATTCCATTACTAGTAAATGACAGCAGGAAAAACCACACCCTTTAATTGTACAGATAAAGATTCCTGGTGACAGTGTCCTACAGTATGTCACTGATGAATCCCACAAGTTTTCAAAGTATTGCTTTCTGCAGAAGTCCAGATTGTGAGCCATTATTAAACTCCCAGGAATGGAAAAGGTTGTCAATTTGTTTTGTTCAGTTTCTTTTGTTTTATGTTGGACCAGAGCCCAGTATAGTCCATCAAGCCTTTTAAATATATACAGCAGAACACAGACACGATCCAACACCTCTGTCAAAATGTGTTGTCAAGGCTGGATGATTTCAGCATTGCGTATTTTATTTATCTTTTTTATTTTTGGCATTGTACACAGCTGGTATCGGTATCTGTTTTGCCTTTTGTTTTTCAGAGCCCATAGCTGTGCTGTATCTTATTATATTAGGCACTAGGTAGATGGAACACTGGCTGCAACCCAGAAAGTAGCCTTAATTACTTCTCACACTGCAAGGCAGAGAGCTGGAAACAAACACCTAGAAGCTGGATTCTTCACTGCAAGTCGGCATTAGCATCTTGCAGAAGCCTGCAACACTAGCGAAGGACATTTGTTTTGATATTTGAATAGAGCTCACATGATGTAGATGGAACCTGTAATTAAAAGAATGATTTGCATTACGAGACTTTGAATTATAATGCTGGCACTGGCTTGGGGGTACATAGTGATGAGGGGAGCCTCATCTTCTTTGTTTAACAAATAGTAACTGGTTTTTTTTCAAAACATTGAAAATATTTCTAACCTTTTTTCATTAAAACTAAAAATCCTTGTGCGGATGCAATCTGTGTGCAGTACAGTGAAAGGGAATGAATCTTTCTGTATCTTTCTGCACCGAGTATTTCAGCTGAGCCTCTTGGGAGCAGAAGGCCTGTCCTCCATTTCGCTTCCTGGAGGAGACAGAAAGGGTAAAGAGGCACTTGACTTGCTCAGGGGCTGTGATTGATAGTAAACTTCTTTTGCTGAGATATTGAATAGCAGTATATTCTTCCACGTTGAGAGGGAGTTCAATAATTGTACTGCTGTACTTTTCTCCAGTTCCTGCATTAAAAATGGGACTGAAATAATGCGTCGATAATAAGGAAGTGTTGTTTTACAAAGACTTACTGTAGTTCAGCATAACCCCGTGTTTCCCGAGTTGAAGGTTGGACTGGCTCGTGAATGGTAGTGTTTGAATTTGATAACCCAAGTCAGGTCGTCAACCTCACTGCTTCCCGCGTGTGCAGAAGCTGAAAACAGATTCTTAACTGCAGCCGGATTTCACCAGAGTTCGACAAGTCCGTGTTTACAGGCTGGGAAACCTGTAGCTGGGTAAGCCAAGTCACTGCCACAGAATTCCCCTTTAATCTGCTCCCTCCCAAAAAAAGCTGTGTAAACACGCCTGTGGAAAACCGCACGAGCAGACCTTGCAGCCTCACTCCTGCCACGAACATCATCAACACAACTGTCCACAGGGGCTGAGAGAGAGAGCACGTTATTCAGCCAAAGCCGTGAAACTGAAGGGGAATTCTAGCCTGTTTAGCCAGAGCCTGCCTGTAGCACGGAGGCGGTTCACTAAAATAGTGCCCAACATTTGTGATGCCTTACTTCTAGACCCATAGCACAAGTATCTGGAGTGAGGAGCCGGAGGACCCTGCATTACTGTTGCAAGTGCAAGGACAAGGAGCAGGCAGTGCAGGCTTTTCTACCCTGAAGGCATCAGCCAAATCCAAATCCAACACATCCACTGCCCCAGGAGCCTTTGCAGGTCGTGTGCAAGAGGCCTTATCACAGAGGCAGGTAGACATGAGAGCTTGCTGTGGACCCCCAAAAACATGTTCCTTTATTCCTGAGCAACAACAGAGTACCAGAGCAATAAAATCGAATAGTTCTTTTGTTCTGTACGTATTTCATTTTTTATGTAACCCCACAGGAACATGTCAGAGGAATGCCAGATTAACATTGCCATACCATTTTTTGGTTTATTATGTGATATCCACAAGGGAGCAAAGCCCTCATTATTTTGCATAATTTAGGACTAACTAATCACATTATGGTTATGTTTACACATGCATGCATCTGTTTATTACTTTATATTACCTTTGAGAATACTTACATAAAGTATGTTTTACAGCAGTTTTACAGCAGCTTGTTATACAATATCAAAGAAATTTACAGGACTGTTTTGGATACTTGCTGTGATATTTCTAAACCGATCTACAATACGTGCTTGCTTATATATATTCAATGAGTGTACCTCACACATAACTGATCTACCACATGGACACTATTAGCAAGTGTTCAGAACCCGTGGTGGTTGCCAGAGGAGGCTCTGAAAGGGGTCAGGAAAGCAGGGCCTTCCTAGAATAATGTCACCACCATCATACTCCTGGGAGTCTGTCCTGGCACAGCAACAGGAGACACGGAGACGTTAAACCGGGCAGCTGAGTACTTGACCATTAGCACTGTCCTCAACAGGAGAGGAGTCACCCCAGTTTCCTGGCTTCATTCCACTCTGGGCTCCCTGAATTCCCCCCCAGTGCAATCAGTGAGGCGGCTGCACACATCCCAGCCTGCTCTGCTGGGCAGTGGGGCTGCTGCCTCATGGCGGCTGTGATGGGGCGCCCAGGTGGGGCGGCGCTTTGTGGTGGGTGAAGCGAGTCTTTGAGATGAAAAGCACTACAGTATATAAATGCAAGGAATTCTCATTAAGTACTGCTGTTATTATGGGGGCACATATCTGGACTCAAGCCCGAGGGGTTGTGGGTTCAGCTCCCTGCTGCGGACACTGATGTTGTAGCTTCATAGCAGGGATGACCCCTTAACAAAACTGAGCCCCACTTATACAGCTTGGTGGACCAGAGGCGCTGGCAGACCCTGACTCAAGGTACAACAGCAGTGTCTGCATTATCTGCAGTCCTGAAATTCCAGGATGCCTGTGTATTTATATTTGGCACTGGCGGAGGCGCATGTCGTAATCTGTCTACTGAAGATCCCTTTGCTAGGATAGAGGATATGGAAAATATATGCACCAAGGTAACTAGTGAGAAATGAGAAAATCTTCCCAAGGAAAAAAAAGGAAAATGTTAAGGTTAATTCCGTGCTGAAGCAGATAGAGAAATAACTCCTTCAACCTCCCTGCAGGGAATTAACCTTTACCTGTTCCTTCCCAGCCAATGCACACTGACATACTGTAGCTCCCCCTGGAACTTAAAGAAACAAGTTGTAATTCAATTTAATAAAACATACGATCATGCAGATGTGGCAAAAATGCAATTTTTTTCTGATTTGTACCCTAAAGATACATGGCAAGCAGAAAAACTAAGACTTTACATTTTTGGGCATCTGAAATTGTATTTTGCCATGTTTAAAATTATTAAATTATTACTTTGGTATCATATTCTTAAATTTTAATTAAAGACATCAATAAAGACAACCGGGCTGAAAATAGACATTAATAGGAAACCTGGCTGAACAGATAGGACCAGTGTCCCCACATACATCCGACAGACAGATTTTGCGGAGTTATGACTAGACAACGCTTGGCTGCTCTGCTCTTAAAAAACCCTCTTCTTAGCTGAAGATTGAAAAGACAGATTTCAATTTTGTTTCCAATTCAGCTGCTTTCTCCCAGTCCCAATCGACTGTAATTGTGTCCCCACTGGCGCGGAAGTCAGCGGCCAGTACTGGTATTTACATCCTGTGTAGCAAGAAATTCCACCCCATGTGCTGTTTAGACATTAAGATGTAGCCAGGGGCTTGAAATGCGACCTCTTGGATCTCAGCTCTTTAGTAACTAAATACTAATGACTGTCAAAAATGGCTCAGCGCAGCAAGTCTGCCAGAATGTTTTACAGATCCTCTGTTTTACAGAGTCTCTGGCAGCTTTTTGCCTTTTCAAGTCCTTGTACAATGTGGACCCACTCTAGGTCATTTTTTGATTCAAGACAAACCTATGAAAATAAAAACAGCTGTTGATAGGCTCTTAAAACTGGTCTGTTCATTACTTATTTATTTGCTTTCATCTTAAAGCAATTTACATTTGTACCTGTTTGTACAGCTGGGTATTTTTTCTGAATCTGAGCACAGCACCTTGCTCAAGGGTACATCGGCAGGGTATCACCCTTCCCACAGCCTCCCAGTTATGAGTGCAGAGGCCTGACCAGTAAGCTGAAGTCCGTAAATGGTGGGGGAGACACAATGACAACCGCTAGAGTGTGTTCTCTTACATCGACTGCAGACCCAAGGCCTGTCTGGTTATGATAAGGACTGGCACGAGACAGGGGGTCTCCAGGCTGGGTGGCTTTGGAAGATGAGTAGGCCCACTGCAGCCCATGTCAGCACCTGTGTTTGTTAGGTGGTTCACTTCCTAGTTCTTGAAGGTGGCTGTAAGGAAATCTGTGCTTGGCTTTCACACTCAGGAGACCCGAGAACTGCCACTGAAGCCCTATTTTTAACAGCTGGCCTGAGAAGAGATGACTATAGCCACCGTGCCCGATGCAGTTAAAATACTGAACCAAGACCAGCCCCGCAGAACGGCAGCAACCTTCCAGGAGGGGGAGGTTCCGCTGCAGAAACAGATCATGTCTGGATTCAGTTGCTATTAAAATGTGATCTTAAAGCAAACAAATAGCTGCACAGTGTCCATTGACAGGGTCAAAGTTAATATTGAGTAAAGGTGATTCAGCGGAATGTGAGCAAGCTATGCTTGGCCTGTTGGAATCAATTTTGGTTCTTGCATCCAATTTAAGACATGAAAGAGACCAATAGTTTGTGGTACTACTTTTGCAGCACGCTCAGGGTTCTCAACAACATAAAAACGGTCTCTCTGTCTGCAGCCCACCCCTTATTCTGCTTTGCAGTTTTCTCAAACAGTTTCTCCTCTTTTCAAGGCCCCAGGGAATGACTGTATACAATCATATTAATCCTTTACTGCCCTAAAACTGAGTCAACAGAATTAATATCTCATTTCATTTCAATGAGACAATCTCCCTTTGAATTGGGCTCCCTGTCAAACTAAAGACATTTCATTAACTCTAGGAAGCCCATCCATTTTTTAGAAGTGTTGAAAGATTTGTTGCACGTAAGAAACCAGCACAGAATTTGCATTCCATTGCTAGCTGTAGCTGTTGTGTCTAAAGGCGGCTGTCATCAACTTCCATGTCAAATATCTCCTGAATGTTTACAGGCTGTTAATGCAGTGCCATGCTAAATGAGGAGCACCTGACTTGATGAACAGTGCCGAACACTGAAGCTCAGAAACCATATGCCTCAAATACAATAGCAGTATCACTGATTGCTGCTCCATCACTGTCCAGCTCAGGCAAGCAGCAGAAGTCTTCAGCACAATTATTAAAAATCAAACACACAATCCAAGCTTTAATGTGGCAGGTGCAATTAAATTAAATCGCAATTCCATATACTGTACTAAGAGTCTTGGCAACACGTTTCCAATACATTTTAAACATCAATTATCAGATGCCATGAAAATGTAACGCTCTCTAAACCTTTTTTGTGGTGATTTAAATATATAAAATATTTGAATCTCTGCAGGAGTGTCTCAAAAGGGGTTTACAATACTCATTACTTCATTTATGAATTAAGATCTGGAATTACACTGTCTGCCTCTAACTTGAAGTTACTATCCCTTTGTGAAAAAAGACTCAACCAGTAAACTCAATTTTCAGTCAATATCTTGCTGACCATTTTCAGCAAAGGTTCTTGAGGCTGTTGCTGTTCAGTTCCAAGATTATTAATCTGCAGATAAAATGTACAAACCATATTAAATCTGGACTCAGCTTGATGCACAATACTGAAACAGCTCTAGTTAGAGTTACAAAGACTAACGATTTATTGCAGACTGATTTTTTAATCTATTTTTGTCCTGATGTACTTCAGTGCTGGCTTTTACACAGCTGATCATAACATCTTGCTCAACAGGTTAGAGAGGGCTGTTGCTATTACTGGAACTGCAGTGTCAAGGTGCAAATCTTATTTAAATGATGGAAAACAGTTTAGTTTCAAATTGGTCATTGTTCCTTTTTGACAAACTTGGTCACATCTGGCATGCTCCAGGCCTCTGTGTTTGGCCCCATTCATTTAAGTATCTCTATGTTAACATTAGGGTTAGACTCATCACAGCTACAAAATCAGTCTTCATCTTTAGGCTAATAACACCCAAACTTATGTTCATATAAAACCTAACATCATTCAACAAGTCCTTTGTCACACCGCTCTTAAAAAAACTTCAGAAAGTTTTTAAAAACATTTTCAATTAAGAAAGCTTTTATGGCTAAACTATGCGGACAGGTTCTCCAAATCAACTTCACAAATGCATCATCTTCAGTTTTACCACCCTCTGACTCAGGTCGGAAAACTTGGTGTCATCTTGGTGAAGCTAATGCGTGCATTTGTTTGTTCTTGGCTCGGTTATTGAAATCGTTGCTTGCTGGTGTATCCAAATGTGTTTTTCACAGGTTGCAAAGGTTGGAACTTAGCTTCTCGGATCCTAATTAAAGCTAAAATGTAAGAGGACATTCCTCCTGTCTTAGTCGCCTTGCACTGGCTCCTGGTGAATCTCGGAATGAAGTGCCGATTCTTCCCTTTAACGATCTGAATTTTCTCCTTGCTACATCAGTAAACTGTTACTGCCGCATACAGCCTCATGGCATTTGTACTTATAGGCCTTCTTTCACTTCCCAAAGCTGTCACAGCCCATCTTTGATGCTGCAGGTCAGCCAGCACTTTAAAATCCTGCCTTAACACCTAATTTTATACACCAGCCTTTAAACCTGCAATTTATTCTGTTGACTTTTATTACTATTGCGTGATTACTATCTAAAGATTTTAAATGGACCTTTACTGAAAAGCCCCTTGAAAAGATGTACTGTATCACGGCATGAAAGGCGCTATATACAATTAAGACGATGGTTATTACAGCACAGGACATGCAGATTCCTCGGCCGGCCGCAGGAGGCAGAAGGCTGGGAGTCTGGAGCTGCGGCAGTATCTGCTTCCTGCTGCAAGACGTTGCTGCAGCGCCTTGCGGCAATTTATAAATAATACGAAAACTGACCTCGAAAAGCGAGAAAATACACATAGGATGTTAAACCTGCTGAGGCAGCAGTTATGTTAGTAATATTTAAAGTCCCCCAGTAAGGCATCCGCACCACCCTTAGAACAGCCCTTGAAATCATGCGCTGAGGAAGGCGCTGGGGTTCTGTGATGCAGCTCTGGGGCTGCGGGCACTGAACCCCTGAAGAAGGAGACGAGCAGGCCTGTCCTTCTGCACGTTCAGAAACACAGCTCTGCTGGCACATTCGCTGCCAGACTGGGAGGCTGCCTGAAGAGGCCTTGTCTCTGTGCATTACGCACAGCCACCTCTCTGCCTTCAAAACCTGTCTCGCCAAGGGCTTGACGTTTTATTCACTTGAACACGAACCGGAGGGCACAAGCTGAAACCAAGCCAATGTGGAAGTGCTTCTAAAACTGAGCACAGGAGGCACTTCTTTACCCAAAGGGTGGTGGAAGTATGGAGCAAGTTACCCAGCCATGTGTTTGAAGCTGAAACCCTGGCTTCTTTCAAGAAACAGTTGGCTGAGATTCGTGGCTCAATTAACTACTAACGACCAAACTCCCAAGTGGCCTCCTCTCGTTTGTAGCTATTCTTATGTTCTTATCTCCTTGTCCCGTAGAGGACAGGAAAACGAATGAAACACGTTCAGGGTGAAGATAAGGATTATTTGAAAGCATCCAGTGGACGGAGCAGGAAAACTAAACTATAACAGTTAGTTTAACCATACCAAATGGCCAGATTCGATTTTTGCAGATCTATTTAATGCATTTGGAATGTGACATGCAGCCAATCAGAGTGTGCAGAACAGCTTAAAATCTTTACATCTGTTGCACGCATTGATAACCCTGCTATTGAGAGCTTTCAAAATCCCTTACCCCAGGTTTACCAGTTCTGTTTATAGCAGCTGTAGTGAAACTATCAAGAATTCAGCCGTTTAAAATATTCCATCCTGAAATGGTAAATGCTTCAGCGGAGGAAGAGAGAGTGAAGGGTTTTGCTTCTTAACAAGTGTCTGGTTTATATTAGCTCAGGCTGTTCCCTTTTTAAAGCCAAACTCTTTAGTTTCTCCCTAAGGTCAAGGTTTTCAAAAACCTTTTCTGCAGAATAGGAAACACAAGGGAATTTACGCTCATTAACAAAACAAGTACAGGGAGTCTGCAACCTCATTTCTTTTTGTTCTGTCTTGCTTCGGAATACCAGTACAGTCAGAGCACATCTCAGCAGATCAGTCCTGGTTTCTTGGACATGGTGTCTAATTGGCCTTTCTAAAGTGCCAAGCAGATTTCTCATTGCCATACCGGAACAAACATTACCATAACAAACAAGAATCAAACGCAGAGTGTCCACAGTGAGAACAGCTCAGACTCCAGCACACGGCTCTGGAGTCATCTGTTCCACAGTTCTGCTTTAAATTATCACAGCCCTGCTCTGGAAGAGAACTGGGTTTTTTTTTTCAGTTTTTCTCTTGGACTCATGTGATGCGCATGCGTGTTGCTCATCCTCTGGAACGGCTTACTGATCTGTCCTCCCCCCCATGTTTCTGTCTGATAGATGTGGAGCAGTCAAAACAAATGCTGTTATCCGCCTTGGATGACAGTGCCAGAATATCCGATGTGCCTCAACATGATACTCTGCTTGTACTAGCAGTTCTTGCCTTGTTCTGAGGAACAACTACCCTACACCGTCTCCCCGATGCTTGTATTCCATTATGGATAAGCAATAGAAAGCACGTGAAGTGTCACACAGCAAACTCTACTGTTCAGGTTTTCATTGTGGTAATCTTGCTATGTTCTCCTCTGACATGGCAGCATTTAAAAGCTTCTGACATGCCACACATGCATTTTAAAATGGTAAAAACTGGTTTCAGTTTTAGATTGCATGCATCAGAGGTTAATAATCTCTCTTAAGGAAGTTTAGTAAATGGAAAGCTCAGTGGGGGGAAAAATTAAATATTTCGGGACAAAAAGTGAAGGGAGAAAAAAATTGGTGAATACAGATCAAGGGTCACTGGTATTAAGACTGTTATATTTCTGTCAAGGACTTGAAGGCTTTGGTTGAAGGTTTTCTGTTTTTTTTCATAGGATAAAGAATAATATGCACAGAATAATACATGATCTCAATAAAAACCCGTTTGCCTTCTCCACACTGTAAGCACTAAATAACAACCTACTTACAGAGATGGAGTTTATTTGTGCAGTTTAATGTATCATGAAAGCCAGTTCTCCAGTGTTTTTGTCACACGTCAGAGGCCAGCCTTTTTCCACCAGCACTCCGCGTTCAGCAGAGTAACATTTGTATTTTTCCCTTCGATCAACAGCAAGTGCTCAGAGGCGACAGTGAGGCTCTCGCCTGGCTGCTTGAGAGCGTTTTAACGTGTGCAGCCTTGTAAAACCCGTCGGTCTGCCACAATAACGGCAGTTTAACAATCAGTGGCTGATGTCAGGCCAGCCAGCGTCTGAGTCTTAATTATCCCGGATGCCTCGAGCAGCATCATCTCACTTTCCCAATCCTGAAACGGCAATCTCTGAAGATGAGGAGGCGTCTGTGATTGTAATTATTCAGATCCTGCCTTACCCCATTCTGAACTTGTTTTTTTTTTTGCTTTGGGAGCTCCTTCATTTAGCAGAGCCCTAAATGTCTTTATCTGGCAGCAAACAAAGACACGTGCCACCTTCATCTGCATACTAGCATAGCAGACATGCAGCTTCTGCAGCTAAGGAGCTTTTCCGCAGATACAGTTTTGAAATAATGCCGAAAAAAAGGAATGTTTTAAACCCGGAACAAGGAACGTTAGTCGTATAAGGAAGGTTGAGTCTAATCCACTTTTATCTACTGTATTTGGTAATTAGATGAGATTATAAGTTGCAAATAGCATTTATTAAATGCTTTGCAAATTAAATATTTATAAAGTATTAATCGAGTGAAGTGATGATGATAACTTATCTCTAAGGTAGATTAATTGGATGTTATATCCAACCCTGATCTGTAAGTGTAGCTCTAGGGGTAACAATGTTGTATAACTGTTCATAACACAGTATATAATCTGTTAAAAAACTATCTACAGCACAGGTATTTACAGACAACTAGACATAAACATTACCTTGTACCAGCCTTTTTACCAACAGTGTTTTCTGGATATGACATAATTATGTCACAGATGGACTTGTGTATTAATGTTTGACCAAGTTGACCTGAGTGTCAATTTCCATGCACTGTACTTCTCGTAGTATCCTGTCGATTTCTTTAATGGAGCTTTGCCGTCTTCAAGGCACTGACACTGTACTTCCACAGACTCCGGCATCTACTCTCAATTCACATTAGTGTGAGGGGTGTCTTTCGAACGGGTGCTGTCTCTGACACAGACTGGATAATGTCCGGGATGTTTGATATTTGACCTACACTGGACACCACAAACCACGAAGCCCAGAGGTTATTTGTTTTAAAAGGAAACAAAGCAGCATTTCACTGCAGGGATCTGCAGACGGCTTACCCTGTCGTCCCGGGACAGTCGTCAAGCTTGCCAGCTCACTGTATCATTTCAGTTCCTGCACTCATGCTGCCAGGACCTGGAGGCGGAAGACGAGAGGGCTCGAAGTCATCAGTTTGCATTAGCTCTGAAACTGCTGCTGCAAAACGGGTCACATGCCTGCTTGGATTTCTCCATCCCTTATTTATAGAGCAAGAGCCCCAGTCTGTGTCAGTGATGGTTAACAAGACGACACATACCCCCTGATAGGGGTTTTGTTTCTGATCCATTCCCAGTTGCCCCAAGCCACTGTGGGAACCTCTGTGCTCGGTTCTAGGATGGGCTACTCTTCACTGTTGGCTGCCAACAGGGGAAAGACACAGGGTTCCAGCACAATTTGAGGTTTATAAAGGCAGAAAATCTACATTTTCTGTACAATATTTGGAGGCATGGATAATCGGAGAGGCCAAACTAGGCTTTGTTTTGTAACAGCAGAAAGGTAAAGGGCTCATTAAATTAGGGAGTAATTTTTAAAGGGGTTTGTAGTTCTGTTAATATTCAGGGCTGTGATTTGTAACAAGGCAGTTAAGTCTCATTAAAGCTATAATGCTGGATGACGTCATTGGGCTACTGATACCCTTGTACTGTCTAGCCAATGACTAGGATGGATGTTTTGGGCAGTTATGAATCTGAATGCTGAGGGAATTGCTGGGAGAGGCATCCAATCAGGCAAAGGGACAGAGACACTAGAACTCTGGTTCTCAGGATGCTACACAGTTTGACAGTGGCTTCGTTCCAAAGTTGTAAAGCGGAGGAATGTTACTGTTTTCAGCGGAGTATATGCCAGATGCAGATAGCTGCATTGTAAATGTTTTTCCTGTTATAGGAGATTATATGCCTCACTCTTCATTATGTGGAAAAGAAAAGTAGTTCAAATTGATGAGGTTCCAGAACGTGACGTTTGTGTTAGTACTGAGCCCCTATCCCCTTTGCCTTTATACACATAGATCTTGCCATTAAAACAAACAGAGAAGCCTATATATTTTAGAAGTCATATGTTTTTCATCCTGTAATTTATTGTGAGTTTTCAAACAATGTTGGGAATGAGATGCAGACTTGTTTTTCACTTGGTTTTTGTTTGATGACATCACTTAACTGGGGATACTGGAAATAAAGATGTTGTGGCAGGGAGAGCTGTTTAAAGAATACTATAGTGGTTCACCTTACTCAAGACTTGCAAGTTAAATCTTGCCCACCACCTACTGTTAAGAGAAATGCAAGACTGGAGGATTGTAATTACTCTAATTGTTGCAGCAATAAATTTCAATCCAGACTTAAAAGAATTCAGTGAAAATCCTTAATTATAAAGTTACCAGAGACCAGACAAGAGGCTTTACAGCAGGATTCAGGGCTTGTAAAACAGCTGCTAACAGCTGTATATCGCAGGAAGGCACAGAGGGCTTTGGCCTTCAAAAACAGAAAGGTAAAGATGTTGGCTCCCCCTCTTCCCTGCCAAGGCAGTGCAGTGAGAGGCGGCTCGTCCCATCTAAGAGAAAGCTCTGTTACAACGTTCTGACAATCTTTAACCTTTTCCAATTAAACGAGAGCAGTGCAGCACACCGGGGACCTCATGCATGTTCAAGGCTTTCAGGAGTAGTGCGCCATTACTGAGCCGAGCAAGGGGGAGCGCAGACGTGGCGCAGGAACAAAGTGAATAAATGCACTTGGTTAAATTAGTCATGAGCACATGCTGTTACTGTGCCTTTAAAGCTACTCAAAGGGCAGGACAGGTTCTTATGGAAGCTCCCAGTTCCTGGTTGAGATGATAGTGATGCTTCCATCTCCGCATCTGCGCCAGGCAGAGCTGCACTGAGTGCTTCTGGCGTCACCCTGCGCAGGGCAAGGACAGCGTGCTCCCGCAGACGTGCAGGCTCGGTCAGGTGTGTCTCTTTTGCTGACGGGGCTTGAAAGGCCTTAGTTTCCATTTATCATCAAAGAGCTTTTCCCTCCTTTTCGCTTTGCTTCAGCGCTGAGATTGTATTCCCCCCTCCCCTCCCCTGGCTGTCGTCTGGGAGAGAAGAAGTGGTTAGCTACTTGCCTGAATTAAAATAGAAAACTTTGACTTAATGTTCTGATAAGAAAAGTGGAGAATAGTGGCAATTTATCACACAGAGGCAAAAAAAAACCCAGTGGGTACAGTCTGAAAAAATAGAGAAGAAAAATTATACCTTAAATTGTGCAAGTGTCCAGTGGTGTACAGATACAAACAAGATACGGATGTAAAATTAAATGAAAGGCTGCACATCTGTAGAGGAAAAGCAAGCTGGGGGAAAAGCAAGCTGGCGAAGGGGGGCGTTGGCGCTTGTGAAACGGCTGCTCTGAGAGGCTGCTGGTCGGCCGTGTTCTCGCAGAGTGGGCGCTCTTCAGCGGGGCACCTGGGGGCAGGTAAGCCCTGCGAGGGGGCGGAAACAGGCGAGCCGATTGTGCTGCTGTAAGAAACGCAGGCCGGGGCCCCCAGCCCCCACACCAAGGCTTTGTTCAGCGGGGAGCTAGGTGGCAACTCCCAGAACAGGTCGGGTATTATTTCATCAGGGTGAAAGAAACCTGAGCGCCGGCCGTCTTCCTGGACCCTGCAGACGTGAACAGAGGAGTCACTGTGCTGGGCTGCCCGCTGCTCCCGGCTATTGTCTGGTGTGTGACGAGCGGGAGCTCCTGGGGAGGGGCGGGGGGGCGGGGGAAAGTCCCTGCAAAGACGAGCCCTTGCCTAACCTGACGGCGCAGCACGGGGGAACAAAGGTTTTCACGAGAGCAGAGCGCTGCGGTCGCTGCACATTCCTACAGGATCTGCTCAGCGCTCTTACAGCCAGCCAGAGCTCTGCCGGCGCCCTGCATTCCTTTGTGCTGAGCGGCCACATCGTCAGCTGCTGGCGCAGCCCGCGCCGATCAGCGCACTGTGTTTCAGGCCCAGGAAAAGCGCAAAGCAAGTGCGGTACACGTTCTGTTGTTTTCACTGTATCTCTTCGATATAAAAAGCCATTGCCAGTGGGACAATCCCCTGTCATGATACTCGGAAAGTGACACCGTCAGATGATGAAGTAAACTCATGCTGCCCATGTGCCTAGATGCCCGATGTCGTGTAGTTAACTAGTTACTTCAGACTTCACTCTTGTTTTCATTGTTGTAGTGTATTTCTGTTTCTGCCCTTTTTCATAAAAACAGTTTTGAAACCTCCATGCACCTAGAACCACAAAGTTAGTGATTTTGAAATCTGCTATAACTTATGTTACCCCACACAGATACTGGATCCATGTTGCAAGAAACAATCTATGCAAATGTGTTTTCATTAGGACGGAAAGCTGAAGGGACAGCTGTCAGTTGCAGATGAACAGAGCTATACTGAAAACAAAGAATTCTGTCTGAAATAACATCATTGCCTAAATATGAGACCTTTCACGAAAGACCTATAACCCTGATGTGGAACCCAGGGCTTCACAAACAAGCATCTTCACAATGACTTGTTTGAACTGATAACCTGAGATTTTCAAAGCTTTTGTAGCAAACCATGGTTCGTCATGATGACAAATTCTCTGGCTTTCGTCCAGGGCAGAATACAGAAAGGCAAACCCTTCTGGAGATCAGCTGTGAGAATCAGTGTGTCATTCATTTACTGCCGGTTTTTAACTCAGGGAAAGTGGACTGACAAGGAGTCTGGGGCTGTCCGAGTCACAGCACAGCTGTCTTCATTCACTAATCTAGCTTACAGAACTCCATGTTGAGCACCAGAGGTAGGGAACAGTGTTTCCCCTCCCATGAGCCAGCTGGCAAAGTAGGTTTTTGCTCTTCAGAGACGAGACTTTCTGGACACGTGAGGCATCGTGAACGATTCCCTCAGTCCGTTCAGCTCCCAGAACTAAAGCAACATGAAAGTGTATAGAATCTGTAACACGTGATTCATCGTTACATGGATCACACACTGGACATCTGAGCACGCAGCCCTGAATTGGAGTGGGATTCGTCCCGAAATCCAGAGTCCCCATGCATGACTCACAGCACACCCAGGAGACTTTGAACCTCCACAGCTAGGGTATTTCTTTAACGAATGAGAAAAAGATTAAATAACTAAGCACTGTGAACACAATTAATTAATTTCCTTAAATGTGCTATGGCTCATGCTGCGTAATAGATTTCTATTTCTAGCTAACTTGCAGTGCATTAATTAGAAAAGCGGTAAAATTACTTAGGAACAACAGACATGTTTGCTTATTTGCTTTCAAAAGAAAGTCTAAAATGAGCGCGTGAGGATTTGCTCAGTACGTGTGGATCGAGGTGGCCGGGGCCCTCTAACCGGAGACAGATGCAGGGAAGTGTGCGGCGCTTGTTTTGAAAGAGGGGTCGTGTAAAAGTCTTCCAGGCTGGGGATGCGGGCTGAGCTGACAGGAGCCGCTCGGGGTGTTGTGCCGGCGTTAATAAGTGCCAGGGCCCGGCAGAGAGCGCCCGGCAGATGTTTCTTCCATATTGACTGGCTGTGTCCTGAGGGGCTCCCTTGGAAAACCTGAGTCAGTTCAAGTTTACAGCGGAAGCACTGAAGAGTTTCTTTTTTCCTGAAGGAGACGGGGGGGAGGACACTTTACATGTTAAAAGAAGCACAAAGCTCTTTTAGTGCGCTGGCCGGGAGATGGGCCCCTGGCCCTGGGCCCCGGGCCCCGGTGAGCTGGCGCTCGGGGGCTTGTGCAGGCCACCCTGTGGACGAGAGGATCTTCCCAGCTCAGAGCGGTCCGTTCTGCGGCTCGCTTCTACGCGTTATCATTCCTTCCCAAACATCCAGTCCGTCTGCTTAAGACAAGAGGGCATCATCCTGAAATTGGAGGTGTTGTGTGCAGGAAGCAAATTAATAAGAAATAATCAAAAAGAGCAGCCTCTTTAGCCTTATCTCCCCACAGGGATGGCGTTAGAAAAACTTACAGGCGTGATAATTGCGGTTAAAGCTTTCCGTAGAACAGTAAAGCCCAAGCTAAACTACATTATAACACGCAATAGAAACTTCAGAATTTCCATGCATGTCAATATATCTTGATTAGGCTTTATGTGGGCAGGCAGGGT